TGACAAGACGGAATAATGTAACAGTGTTTGCAAGGAAAAATACATATAAGGAAGTTGATGGAAAATATGAGCTAATAAAACAAAATGATGAATTGATGGCACGCGAAGAGAAGAGAGTTACAAACTTATGTTATGTCACTTTCCTTTGATATTCACACTCCCAACCTCTCTTTCTCTCCAATGACTAGACCAGACACATCTTAGTTCTTGCCCCCTTTTCTCAGACACTCACTTTCCAGTTTTCCTTTTTATTTTGTTATTACTAAAAATAATAGTGTATATTTTTTTTTATAAACGGTTGTAGTTCCGGATTTTGATCCATAATCTCTTCGGTGCCCGGACCAGCTGTTGATAATATCACGCTTAAGGCGTCAATCATTTCTTCTAAATAAAGTTGAACTAGTGATTTTGAAAACTATCTTCCAAATTTCAAGACCATTAGGCCACCAACCACTTGATAAATAATATTATTTAGAATATTGAAACGAACTCATCATTTTTCGCACTTGAAATTTTGATTTGATTTTCTAACCTACCCATAGTCCCACTTCGATCTATTCATTTCCCCCCTTTCCTTGATCCCATGCGCTTCCTCTTATAGTCTTCTTTCTCATCATCATATACCTTCTTTTTACTATATTTTTCTCATGTTTTTTTTTAATCTTTTTAATAGTATAATTTTATACATACTAGTGGTGGTAACTCATCGTGTTTTCATTTGTATATGTGTGTACTATATGGTGGTAACGTAAAGAGACTTATGTGAGTGCTTATATATATATACACATACAAGAGGCTTGCAAGCAATGTCATTAATTGCCCCATTGGGAGAAATATCATAATTATAGGTTATTTCATATAATATCCTACAGAACTCATGTCTACATGTTAATTAGAATATATAATAGGATTAGTTAAAATTTATCTTAGGTTAGATATATAGGTCGGAATCAAAATCCCTAACTTTTTGTAGACTTTCGTTGACAAAATATTTTATTTGTCTAATAAGAAAAAGTTTACGTAAGACTTAGTTCTTGCAATTGCCTTTTTTTCTGGGAACATCTAGTTCTTGCAATT